CGTCGGCTATGTCGAAGGAAGCAGAGCTCGAGCACGTGTAGCCATCGGCTCCTCCTCGCGTCGCCCGCAGCAGCTTCAGCCATGCTCGCACCAGGGCTTCTTCAGGGTAGTGCCTCTTGATGGGCATGAAGTCCGAGTTAGGGATCCATCCTGACGCCAAGTCTAGCCGCGGCCGCGACTCCACCATGCTCTTCACCTGCCCCATCTGCGTGCCCGGGCAGCTGTAGCCAGCTGAAGCGAGTTCTCCTTCAACCTCCTCCTCCTCCTCCTCCTCCTCCCCCTCCCCCTCTAATCCTCCTCCTCTCTCGTCTTCTTCTTTTCCCATCTCCCTCCCTTTTCCCCTCCCTTTTAGCCTCCCGCACTCACTCGATACAAACTCTTCTTACCTAACCCTACTTATGCCTTCCTCACTTCGATAGTTTCTGATAGTCTTCTAGCCGACGAATTCAAGGTCGGGGAGTCTTCTGGATTACTTTCACTTGGTCAGGTTCTGTCATTTGTCTATCCTCCACCTCTACTACATAGCATGAAACATGAACTCCTGATCGACTGAAGAAAACACGGGCTACATTGTGCACGGCTTAGCATGAGCTTGTGAAGCAAGAGAATGTTTGTTTCACCACTCTATTATTAGAGCGAACGCCCAACGTCGGGCATACCGTTGCAAGATGATGGTTGCGTTTTACAACATTCAATATGTTTCGATCATCCTTACCGTTTTGGTCCTTGTAGTCGTTGCAGAAGGATGTGAGAGCAGTCATCATCATTATCATCATCATCATCCCATGCAGGCTGAGTGGTTCTTTCAATTATCGAGGCAGCAGTACGTCATGCAGTTGCGAGGAGGAGTGAAGAAGTTGGATCAAGTTCACCCCGACTACGCGCCGATCAGGGCGGCAAGGAGGGATGAACGGGAAAGCGAGGATGCAGAGAAACAGGTTGGCAAGAAACCGAAGAGAGGAAAGAAGGGGTTTCTGGCGTCAGAGTACGCTAGAAAATCAAGACTGAAAGCAAAGCAGATGGGCTATGACTCAACATACATTGTAATCATCTAAGATCTCAATTTGTCGATGCTGACGTCTTTCTTTAACAGAGGGAACATTTCCCTGACCTTGCTAAGAGGTCTGAAAAGGAAATACGAAGGTGAAGTTATGCACGCGTGCGTACAAGACTGATGGTCCTCCCAGGAAACAAAGAGAAATAGGAGAGAGCTTGGGGCAGAAACAAAAGGTGATGGCAATTCTCTTCTTAACGGAGTGTTTGCATAAATGTTGACATTTGAACTGCAGAGAGGGGAGTTCACTCAAGCAGAGCTGCTAGAGATGAAGCAGAAGGAGCTGACGCCTCAGAGCTACCGGCTCTACAAGATGTAAGCATGCGGACAGTGCAAGAGGTAGACTCATCCTCATCCGAGGTATCCGGAGCTCTTCGACGTCACCTCGAAGGACAGGAAGGCAATTCTCCCTGACAGCGACGATTTGGTAGGATCGAGCCCCTCGGGAAGCATGGAGACAGGGAGCTACGAGTTCTCCTCCTCTACCTCGACGCAAGTCCCTTCATCCTCCGAAGAATGATCAGGTCCCAGGAAGTAGAGAATGAGGAGGAGAGAGAAGGTAGAGAATGAGGAAGAGATTAGACACGAGGAGGAGGAGGAGGAGGAGGAGGAGGAGGAGGAGGAGGAGGAGGAGGAGGAGGCTGGCTCGCTCCCTCGCAACCACGTCAGACCATTACAGTGGCTCATCGTGTGCTCTCCGTTAGTTCACAGCGAGTTGATTCTCTACATGACTCTTGAGTAGAACATCTAGACCACCCAGCACGCACACAAATGCCCGTACGCGCTCGTGTGGTCAGCAGATTGTTCATGCAAGGAGGGTGGGGCTGCGCAATGCTACATCATAAGAGCATGGACTCATTCACTCGCGCTCCTCCATCTCCTGTTGTCTCACAGCATGTACTCGTCTCTTGTCTCACAGCATGTACTCGTCTCTTGTCTCACAGCATGTACTCGTCTCTTGTCTCACAGCATGTACTCGTCTCTTGTCTCACAGCATGTACTCGTCTCTTGTCTCACAGCATGTACTCGTCTCTTGTCTCACAGCATGTACTCGTCTCTTGTCTCACAGCATGTACTCGTCTCTTGTCTCACAGCATGTACTCGCTGTTTGCCGTCTTTGACTTGCGATGCATGAACTCAATGCCTGCGACCGAGACTGCTCGCCTGCTCGCCTGCTGTCAGGCCCGTGGAAGAGGATCGTCACGGTTCACCTGATCACATCCCCGAGGTACTCCGCGTATCGAGAGTCAGTGCACGTCATAGGCGTGACTGCCGTCTTCGCCCCGGCGTCGTTAACTGCTCGAGCAAGTGCTGGGGGTGAGCTGGAAGCGAGGGAGAAGGGGTCCGTCAGACCTGGTTGGATCCCGTCCTGGGGCAACACAAGCACTTTGCTACCATCGACTTGGACCTGAGGGTCGAAGTAAGGGAGGAGAGAGAAGGAGAAGGGGAGGTGGAGAAGAAGGAGGCAGGACAGACGCACCTCCTTCACGGCTACGATCGGAAGTTCCCAGGCGACTTCGTGGGAGGAGAACTTGTGAACGCAGATGTTCTTGTCCGTGACCAGCGCAGCCTCGTTGGCGTCGAGCACGCAGAATCCGATGTAGCTGAAGCCAGAGGGTCACCAGACCGCAAGGAGGAGACAACAAGTCAGCCCGCCTCACCGATCGTTCTTCCAGGACCCGCTGTGAATCACGCGCATGGCGTTGCAGCCATAGGCAGACCTGAAGTTTGACCGTGTGAGCCTCCAGCAGGAGACGAGCAGAGGGGAAGGGAGCTAGCGTCTAGCTGGAGACGAGCAGAGGGGAAGGGAGCTAGCGTCTAGCAGGAGACGAGCAGAGGGGAAGGGAGCTAGCGTCTAGCAGGAGACGAGCAGAGGGGAAGGGAGCTAGCGTCTAGCAGGAGACGAGCAGAGGGGAAGGAAGATACCTCGCGTCGTACAATCTCAAGACCCCATCCCCCACGTTCACTCTCGGAGGCCTCAACCTCTTCAGCACTTCCCCGTCCTGCAGGAGAAGGTGAGGCTGTCAGAGCTGCGAGAGCCACAAGGGGACGAGGAAGGGAGGGAGATGGCTGGACAGGAGCACGGCAAGAGCACGGAAGGAGAGAGCAGAGAGCTGGCTGATGAGCATGGGGGAGCAGACCTTGGTCGTGTCGCGCACAGCCTCGGTAGCCTTTGACGTGAGGTCCATCAGCCCTGCGACCATCATCAACCCCATCAAGACCTCCTCCTCCTCCTCCTCCTCCTCCTCCTCCACCACCGCCGCCGACACCGCCGCCGCCACCACCGACCCTGCTGTCGGCGTCACCACAGCTCCCAGCAGCCCCTCCCCAGCCCGGAGAAAAATCCGGACGCCCCCCCCTCGCGCGCCCCTGCCATAGGCTTCGCAAAGATGCCCATGAAACCCTCCGACATCTCGTTGAGCGCGTCCTGCCGGGCCTGCGCCAGGTTGGAGCTGCCGGCCTTCTGCCGCTGGCTCTGCGACTCCTGCCGCTTCTGAGCATAGTCTGAGTCACCGGAGAGCTGAACGAGGCTCTTGGACATGGAGCTGGTGATCTTGGAGGCAGCGTTGAAGACCCCGTAGGTGCTGTTCTTGAAGAGCGAAAGGCTCCCCTTCTGCATCCCCTTGGCGAACTCCGCCGGCGACTTCATCATTCCCTGGGCAGGCTCGTAGAAGAAGTCCTGCACCCCCGTGCCCAGATTGTTGACCAGCCCGACGGGGTTCCCGAGGAACTCGAAGGACCCGACGAGCTTGTAGAGCTGCTGAATGAGCTGAGTGCGGTAGTGCTTGCGGATGGAGCTGCTGAGCTCCTGGGAGGTAGCGAACGGACGCTCGAGAACGAGGGCGTTGAGGCAGATGGGAGCCTTGTCAATGTTGGTGACCACAACCCCGAGCGCCTTCATGGCGGCGAACATGGGGTTGTAGCTCAGCCCTCCGCCCTCCGTCGATGCTCGATCCATCAGAGCTCCGGTACCGTAGAAGGAGAGGTTGACGACGATGGGGTGGAGCTGGAGGAGCTCGAAGTACATTTTCTCACCTCCGATCGCCTCCTTCTCCAGGAACCTCAGGTTCTTGAAGCCGCTGGCCCGCAGGTCGTCAGGCTTCTCGTCAGAGACTGAGATGGTCGAGGAGTCGACGACGTTCTGAGCCGCGTCGAGGAGCCGCATGATGATGGTTTCTTCCAGGTCCAGCGACATCTCTCGCAACGAGAAGGCGAAGTACTTGAAGAAGGATATGTTCTTGTACACCCTTGACCTCACCATGCTGACGTGGATCGCGGGCTTGCCCTCCCCTTTCCCCATCTCCAACCCCAGCAGGATCTCCGGGCCCCTGTCCGTCTGGTTGTCAACTTGCACCTTGTCAATCTTGACCTCGAACTCGAAGTCACTGCGCGTCACCCGGTACGACGTCGAGATGTCCAGCAGGGCCCCGTACATGATCTCGTCCAACTTCGCGTCTATGACGCTCACCCCGACCCCCGACAGCTCCACCTGGAACGCGTACTTGACATCGTCTTCCTCACTCTTAGTGCTCGCACTGCAAGACACGCTGCTGCTCGCCAACAGGTCCTTCACCCTCAGGGAGCGCGTGGGGCCGTCGGCAAACACCTCAGCCTGGATGCCTCCAGCCAGCTGGAAGGTGGCGAACTTGTTCATCTTGACCGACACGCTCTCCTTCACCCCCTCGATCTTCATGCTGATCACGTGCGCCTCGTGCGGCCGGTCCCAGCACAGAGGCGCGCGCTGCCCGGGGGCGAGCTTGTGGACTGTGAGCTTGGAGGAGACGGACTCGATGGCCTGCCAGTACTCGACGGTCTTGCTTGTCTGGTTGTCTACCGCATACTGCGGGTAATCCTCCTTCTCCCTCCTTAGCACCATGAAGGCGGCGGCTTTCCTGAGGCGGATCTCGATCGAGACGTTGAGGGGAGAGTCGCCGTCCTTCTCGGGGGGGAAGCGGATGGAGAAGCTGCCGACCTGGTCGGGCCTTATGGGTCCACTCCATGCGGTCGAGTAGGTCTCGTGGGTTCCGATCTCTGGGACCACTCGGGCCCTGCACGCCTTAGTCTTCTTCTCGTCCACCCAGTGGAACGGGAACAGCTCCCCATCCTTGATCTCCAGCACGGCGTTGTGCTCCTCCTCCAGCCCCACCTGCACGAGCTGGATGGTGTATCCTATCCTGTTGCAGACGGTATAGCGCGGGAAGATGCTGCAGATCTTGCTGCGGGAGTAGTGACCAGTCCCCAACTCGAAGCTGAGGCCGAACTCGTACATGGGCTTCGCTCCCTTGAGGGACGGGAGGTCAGAAGCCTTGCCGGGCACCTCCAGCACCCCTGTGGTACCCATGTTCTCCAGGGAGAAGGATGACGACCAGTCAGATCCGAGCACGCAGAACGTCGCCTTGTTCCCCGTCAGGTCCTGGTGGTCGTAGGAGAACATGAAGGGCATGTCGCCAGGCTGCTCCATCCAGCTGTCGGGGAAGCTAATCTCCTTCTTCCTCGACTTCTTCTCCTTCCGCTGCTCCTCCGACGTGCTCACGACCCTCCGCTCCGGAGTTGCAGAGCCAACGGCTCCCGCCTCTCCCACCCTGACGATGGCCTTGACCAGCCGCTTCCACTCGAGCTCCTGCGAGGTAGTGCGGTGGCTCCGTGAGGGGCCCTCGGGCATCACCTGCACCTTGTCCCCCTTCCCTCGCAGCTCAAGCAGAGCCTCGCCGTCCGCCTTGTTCAGCGTGACGCAGGGCAGGCGGATGCCCGGGCCCTTGTCCCCCTCAGCTAGGAAAGTCGACTCGTCCGAGTTGATGAAGATCACGGCGATGGCTCCTGCTCGGGCGGCGCTGCGCGCCTTCTCGGTGAAGGGGATGACGCCTCTGCGGATGACTGCGATGTTCCCCTTGATCTCCTCCGCGTTCTTGATCGGCCCGTCAGCCATGGGTGGGTCGCACAGCACGACGTTGCCCTGGAAGCCCGAGCGAGGCCCGAAGACAGCATAGATCCCCTGGAATGCAGCCTGGTACTCCACAGCGCTCGATGCGCTTTGCGATTTAGCGACAGGGGAGGAGGAGGAGGAGGAGTTTGCACCAGAGCTCGAGCTCTGTCCTGCCGCTACCTTCGCTCCACTCCTGTAGGAGCCGTAGATGAGCGGCAAGCTCGTGAAGTTGCGGAAGATGTACTGCGCGTATACGGTGATGGTGACGTCGCCCCAGGCCGAGGTCGATGAGTCTACCCCGAGCTTCAGCACTCGACTCTCATCGTCCAGCAGGTCGATCTCCTTCTCCACCACAGCCCCAGCAGGGTCGAAGACGAGGATGGGCTTGTTCACGTGCCGGAAGGCGCTGAGGAAGACGGTGAAGCGCAGAGGCACCTTGAGGTCAGTGCAGTAGAGCTGCTCGATCTGCCCCTCCCCCACGTGCCTCGTCGCCACCTTGACCCCCGGCTTGCCAGGAGGAACCGCCCACAGGGCGACCTCAGCTGGGTAGGGGAGGAGATTGGAGACGCGGACCGCCGGGTGGATGGAAATCACAATCCTCATGTTCTCCTCGTGCCCCCCGATGGGCCTCTTGGCATCCAGTCGCACGCGGAAGTACCTGGCCCTCGCCTCCTCCCCCTCCTCCTCCGAGCCCCCCGCCAACGACTTGCAGGCGATGAAGACAGACTCGCCCGTGACAGGCTCGGAGGGGATGGGGAAGGGTGTGCAGTAGCCGAACTCGTCCCCGGCAGGCTTGATGCTCATGTACTTGGAGGAGGTCAGAGCCAGCGGGACGCAGCCATGGCTCTCCCCCGCGAAGCTCTCCCTCCAGAGGATGGAGCCACCTCCCTCCGACACGCCGCCTCCCTCTCCCAGCACGTTCATGACGCAGGCATCGACCATCAGTGTGGTCTTGTTGTACACCTTGACTGTGCTCTGGATCGCGATGATCTTGCATCCCCCGTCGTTGTGGATCTCCGCGACGGCGCGCAGGGGGCCGAGGGGGAGCATGTGGACGCCGGTCACGTCAACAGGCACGTGGGTGAGAACGTCGTCGACTCCCTCGAACTTGATCGAGAGCGTGTGGAACTCCAACGACATGTCCCGCTGCCGCGAGTGATGCATTCTCTTGTGCGCGAACTCGAACGGCTCCTCTCCCCCACTCGACAGCTCCCTCTGCTGCTGGACGTCTGCAGGAGGGTCCAGGCTTGCTCCCAGCCAGAAGGTAAGAGGGATACCGGACTCGTTCTTGAGGCGGTAAGGGGAGAAGCTCGACTGGGAGACGGTGTCTGCAGTCCAAGTCTTGCTGTCCTGCATCCAACCTTCCACCGTCTGCACCAGGCAGCGCATGTGCATCTCAGCTAGGTTCAGCTCGATCCTCGCGTCTGACTTGAGCTTCACCGAGGCTGACGAGCGTCCTGGCAGTTCGGAGGCTTCGAGCTTGAAGGTCCAGGGCTCGAGGATGGGCTCGAAGCAGGTGTTGAGGAGGTTGTAGTAGTTGGCGTCGAGGGTCGTCAGGAAGGTGAGCTTCACGCTGTCGTCGTTGTAGGAGGAGAACTTGGACTGAATGTTCTTGGCCGTCACTGTGGCGAAGGGAACGTTCCAACCCATGCAGTCGTTGATGATGGAGACGGTGAAGCAGTCCATGAGGAAGTCAAACTCCATGCTCAGCGTGGAGTCTGCCGTGGGCAACACAGGAGCCACTTCTGCGTCCCGGTCCATGCCCGAGCTGAAGTAGACGTAGCCGGTGGTCTCTGCGAAGCCACTCTCCTCCGCTGCCATGGCGAAGTTTCGGACGAGGGTATAGCAGCGCTTCACGTCCTGGTACGTCACGATCACGTCGACAGAGCGGACGCTAACTTTGACCGACGACTGAACTTTCCCTCCGTCGTTGTAGTCCCTCGTCAGCAGGGAGTACAACTTGGACTTGTCCACCATGTACTGCTCCTCCGCCTGCTCCTTGATCAACGAGTAGAGCGAGAAGTCCTGCACCTCGAGCCGCATGCGCTCAGTGTTGTGGTCAGCAAGATACTCCCCCAGCACTTGAAAGGACACGGCAATCTTCGAAGTCTCCACCTCCGTGCAGTCCTGAAGGGCCATGACTGTGCTCCGTCCCACCCTTATCCTCCCCTCCACCTTGCTGTCCCCCCACCAGCTGTATCCCTCCTTCGCCATCATCCTGGCCTCCTGCTCGGCAGAGATTTTGCCCTCCGCCGACTCGAACTGTCCTCCGCTCGCGCTGTTCTCCGTTGGCTTCGAGTCGAACGCATTGAAGACGGTCGTCATAGTCGCCATGATCGGATGGGCGGCCACGTTGACTTGTAGCCCCGTCATGGTCAGGTCGAACTCGCCGTCCCCTTCTGCGCTCTCCTGGTACGTGAAACTGATCACTGCTGCCTCCCCCCTGGCGGGCCGGACGAGGTCCTTGAAGACATTCTTGGAGGTAGGGCAGACGTCCCTCAGGGAAAAGTCCCCAGCCTCCACGCTCGCCATCCATGCGGTGTCGCTCCAGATTCTCATCTGCCCGCCGACTCCCTTCACTTCCAGCTCGCTGACTTCCTTCGTGTCATCGGCACTCAGGACGGTCAGGCGTAGAGTCTCCAGCTGCACAGAGAGGCAGAGGTCGAGCATGTGAAGCTTAGCTCGCTCTTGCGAGAGCTGGCGAGCCTGAGCACGTCCGATGTCAGGGAGAGGAGAGGGAGAGGGAGAGGGAGAGGGAGAGGAGAGGGAGAGGAGAGGAGCGAACGAGAAAGAGAAGGGAGAGGATCAAGGAAAGAAGCTGTAGGATGGGTGGGATAGGGGAGGGAGGAGAGAATGGGGGGAAAGGAAGGGAGGGAGGGAGGGGTACCTCTTCCTCTTTCGCCGCATCCTTCATCGCTCGAGAGAGGGCCTGGCTGATCGGCTCGACCTCTAGCAGCGACTTTGACTTCATCCTCGCCTTTCCCGCATGGTAGTGCCAACTCCATGCTGCCTTGACCTCTGCGATGCTCGCGATGGTGGCGCGGGAGAGGAAGGCGATGGCCTGCTGGTGGAGCCGGAGGACGATGGGGCTGACGGAGACGGAGACACGGATGATCGCATC